ATTATGCAGATTGCTCGGGAATTACGTGTTCTTCAAACAGAATCCTTGAAAGTCATGCTGCCCTCTCTTGTTGATGTAAGTCATCGTAAGCCAGGCACAGAGCCACCAATAGAAAGGCTAAATCCCAGCTTTCAGCTTTTATCACAGACAATGCAACAAAAGAAACTGCAGGAGCACATCTTTGCCCTCAAGGAACAGATGAATCGTCTTCTGGTGCAGGAGTTAACCCCTCATGTTGAACATCTGAAGGCCATGCGGAAGAAACCTCAAAATGTTGGTCATGTGATATTGCCAGTTATTCCAGGTGTTCAACCTGGGCATGTGGAAGTCTCACTTGATCAGTTTTCAATGCGACGAATTCATGATCTTTTGTGCATTGCTTAGTTTTGATTTGTACAATTATTTCTTATTTTTTTCCCCAAGAAGTCAACTTCATGGGCTTTCCTCATCAGCTATCTTCAGGACATGACTAGTAGGCCTTATATTCACAATTTGAGTCAGTTTTATTGATACAAAAAGGAGTCAGATACTTTGTCATGCATATTAGCTATACCTGCAAAACTTTGGCAAGAAAGCTGTCTTCATCTCCATGAAGTCATGATACCTTTATTTGATGGATGCCATCTTCTCTCCAAGGTTGAAGTATTGCTCTTGTTTTACATGCCATTTAAGTAAAAGGATACCCTGCTATCACCCCTAGTTGTAAACACAAAGCAACCCAGTTGATTTCTGACTAATCTCTTCTGGAAGATGAACTGCTCTCTGTACAAGGGAAGAATAAATGTTATGAACTCCCTGGAGGATGTTTTCAACTTCTCTTGGGGTCACATCATAACATAAGGAGCTAAAAGACCTTGTCCAGAGGAGATACGGACCCTATGACAAAGGACATTGTAAAACTTAAGATCAAACAATCATATGTCAATGAGATTTACACTTTTCAGTAGCTCATGGCAAGAAGGATGAATGCTATTAAGTTCTATACAGGATAGTTTTTTCTGTATTTACATTTTTTTGTCATCTTCTGCTGCAGCTGTGATTTCTGTGATGAGAATGCTGTCTATACTCTTCCAGTCAAAAATGCTCTTCTTTTCACATTGTCTTTGCCTTCATTTCTTGAAGTTGAAATGAAATATTTATGGAAATACAGATGTGTGTTGATTCATGACTACAAGAATCTGAAATTATGACTGATACCCTCTCTTTTCTTACTAATTAACCCATTGGACCCAAAGAGCATGCAGTGCTTTTTCCTTTTGACCATAATGTGTGGCAAAAAGAAAGGAAAGAGGGTAGTGCATCTAGTTTTTTTTTTTGAGTGCTTTCCCAGATAGGGCCAATGGGTCCAATATTAAGTGTAAAACATAGTACACAAATGTTCAATGACTTTAACAGTTAAGGGTATCATAAATAGCCAGAGAGCATGCAGTTCATGAGAAAAGCCAAGGCATTGTAGTGTGAAGACATTGCTTATGGCTTAACCCTTCAGCTATTTTAATTGCACTAGTCCATGTCTCATCTCATACTGAAGATGTTTTTATGAAACATCCATGATTCACACAGCCTTATGTGTTCCCAACAGACCTGTTACAACTTTGCCCCATCAAAGCAAAAGCCATGATCAATTATTTGAGTTTGAAATTGAAAATGGCCAGAAACTCATGGGAAAGCCTCTTCTCTGTGGTTGCATATTATGGAACATACATCAGACAATAAATAATCATTCATTGGGTAGGCATTTTGTTTACTATGACTTTCATCAGCTCATTTTTTATTTTAGTATTGGCTGATGAATCAACAGATATCAATAACTAGAGCATGCTCTAAATTATTTCAAGTTTCTGCCTCTTTTTTTTGGTCTCTGGAATGGGATAGGATGGGACTGGGCTGGATTGTAAAACACCTCAGTCCATTTTCAGCTTTCTTTAAAGTATTGCTTATGATCTTGCTTTGGAAGGACATATTTTAATGAAATTTCAATAATTAAGTTGAGAATACATCATCCTGTGTACAGTGCTTGTTTCATGAAAATATATCCAATATGACATTTTTAGGCTCAGATTTGGGGATGTATTTTTTATACAATGCCCTGGAAGTGGACATACCTGCATGTCTTCCTTTTTAAAATTTTTACATTTGACTTGGAATTTTCATACTTGCGCAAGTGTGATAATAATCTGCCGTCGGCTAAATGTGGCCACCGGTAAAACCCTAGATTTAACACGTTGATAACAGGCATAACTGTATCCCCGAATCTAGACTGGGTGATGAGTTCTGTCGTGAAGGAGTATCTATGAGGCATCTGAAAATGGCAATGCAAATCAATTGAGCAGGGACAGGTGATATATCCATGATGCCCACATGTCATGTCCTTAAAATAATTGTGTTGTTCGAACAGGAATTTTTGTTCCTTAAAATTTGTTGAACCGATTTATTTAACAGCACAGGGTTGTTTTTTTTCTCAATTTGAGCCATATTTATGTATGGGGATGCATCTGTAGATAGAGAAAGGTTTGGGAGAAAAGGATGGCATGTAAGAACAAATAGTGGTTGCACCTAGCTTTTTGAAGAGTAACAAATCATGGAATTAAACATTTTGAGACACCATGAGGTATTTTTGCATCGAATAAAAAGTTAGATGGTTCGAAAGTTAACTGCGGGGAGTTTTCCTCTCAAAAGGTATAACAAATGGAACATTGGCGGACGGCTTTGGTTGAACGAAGATGAAAGGGAAGGTAAAGAATGAATTGAGATGGTGTAGGAGTGACCCGGTGTCAACTAGAGATGTCAGATGGCAGTTTTGAAGACATCTAGGAATCGACCTGAACCGTCGAGGTTGCACAGATTTATCGGCAAATTTGAGTGCCCCGAAGAGAGCCCAACGGTGGGTGCCGCATTTCCACAGAAGTGGATGGCAAACGGTTGCAATTCATCGCGGCCGCATAAGAGAGTATCCCCTTCTCGTCATCCAATACCCGGGCGTTCGAAATTCGAACGCCGTGTCTCACTTTAAGGTTACGGAGCGAAACTCGCTGAAAATTTGAATCGAGGCAATTTGGGTTTCCCTGATGACGGAACCCATCGCCGATTATTTCTCCAAATCGTGACTGAATTTGAATGTTGTGTCTCCTTAGAATGCTACGAGGCAGAACTCACTGAAAATTGTTCAAAAAGAGAAATTTGGGAGCCTCTGATGACAGGAGCTATCCCCCCTTCTCCATCTGATTCATGGGAGTTCTAAATTCGTTCGGAGTGTCTTATTTGAATACTATGGGACGGAACTCTCTGAATATTGGTATATAGGGAAATTGGGAGAGAGTGATGAGGGGACGCGCCCAATATTATTTATCCGAAATTGGCTGATTAAAAAACCGTGAATGTTTCACGGGTTACAGCAATTATAAAATATTACTGCTCTCCAGATCGGTGTCAATCGTCTCGTTGGCCGCCTCCCTCCCTTTAAATGTCACTGCCTTAACCCTTTGACGGTTACGCATTGATAAGTATACAAGTGGTGTTGTCCCGTGCCTCATAGGTTGCGCACTGATAAATCAGTTTTTACACAATAACGCTAGACAATCACCGAATAATATATAAGTGGCAATGTAAAACAGTGTGGCATGTCCTGACATGTTTTGATATACTTTTTTTTTTTACTGAATTGATAAATTGGATAAGGAACGAAACCCAAAACATCCCACCACATGGACATGGGGTTAACATGTAAAAAAAAAGCTAGAAATGTAGTTAGATTCTAAATTCTAGTAATTGCAAAATATGCAACAAAAAATCTCAACCTGAATACTACAAGTAGTGCAGAAATATTCAACCTCCAAATGGTTAAATACCACCAATGTATATTGTGACAGCCCTAATGCCAGCGGGAAGACTTCCATAGGCCCTCCCCCATTATAAAAAGAAATAAGGCCTCTAATGCTCAATCTTCCATGAAGGAAACAGTCTACCATTCATGCATAGTGCCCAAAGAGGCATTCAACATGCTTGTTTTGAAAGCCATGTTCTACCCCATCCCTTTCCTCTCTTCTAATAAGAAGGATAAGCCAAAGACAGGCCCTACTGTAAACAGAATCTTGGGTAATCAAGAAGAAATTAAGAGTAGAGGTAAGGAGTAAATCTTATTATTTATATTTTTAACCATAAATACCATCTTCTAGCATGATCCCCTACCCTCCCTGATTCGAGATCCAGTCATCCATGTTATGGACTTCTGGTTCCCATCCCAGTCATCTGGTTATGGACAGTTTGTATCATCCTGATATAATGTAATTTCCTGATATAGGCCAATATTTGATGAACAATAAAATGTTGCATTTCTATAGCAAAGGTCTGTCAGCAACTCAGTCCCATAATACTGCTTTTTCAGGAAGGGGTCAACAATCTGGCCCTGTTAAGGGGAAACTTTCTCTAATTTTTGGAACAGCAAACCCTGCCTGCACCAAAAAAAACTTTACAACTGAATTTGCTTTAATCAACAAACACTTTTAAGTGAAACTTTCATTTGCCAGATTTCATTGTTAGACATTCTATATTGTCAAGTTTAACCACTGAATGTAATTTCCTAGTTGCTTTGAAATGTAAAACACATATCCAAGAGTGTGAAAATAATCTTTCTGCTTTCACTAGGATGCAGTCCAAGCCCATACTTAACTGGGAGAGCCCTCCAGTCACATGATTTATTTTGATTCTCCTTAATGGATTTTCCAGAACTCCAGATGAATTGAAACCTTGACCAGGCAACTATAGGTGGATATCCTTCCAAATTTAAATGGGTTAATCATTAATATTAGCACTTCCCTGGAAAGGAAACAATTTATTTGTGAATTCAGCAAGAGTAGCCTAAAGACAAATTCTCCCCCATGGAATGCATTAGTTGGCATATATAGCAGTACATTCCTCATTTCAGAGAAATGCTCTTATTGCATTTGCAAGCTGACAGGACTGTGAAGAGGTTAGTTAGAAATCCCCTTTCATGACTCTGTTTTTCAGATTTTTTCAGCATAGAAATGAGTGAAGAACAGAGTGATTCTGAAGCCCCTGTCAGGAATGAGGAAGGGGAGGATGAGGAGAATGGAGAGTTGATGTCTGATGCTAATGCATTCAAAGCTCCTCTACCAATCATCCTTGAAAGAGGGAACATGCTAGGGATCTCCTCAAATTCTCAATTTGTGCAAGAGCCACATGAAAATGAGAAGAAGCAGGAAGTCTTGGACAAACAAGAATCTCCCTTGGGGACTATCAGCAATTTAAATGAACCAAGTAAGAATGGAGATGAAACAGAAAAGTCATTGCCAAAGACACAGAAGAAGGTGGAGCTGATTCCCATTCCCTTACCATACAAAGAACCTGATTGGGGAGGCATCCTGAATGAAGAGTACAAAATGGAAGTCTTGAAATGTGGTCTCATCATTGACACACATGACTTAAGAGACAAGTCTTTCTTTGTGGTGGGTCGTCTGGCTGACTGTGATTTTGTTATGGAGCACCCTTCTGTGTCCCGCTATCATGCTGTGCTGCAGTATCGAGGAGTTTCAACTGAGACACAAGAAAAGGGGTTTTACCTTTATGACTTGGGCAGCACACATGGAACATACCTGAACAAGGCCAGGATCCGACCCAACATCTATCACAGACTTCATGTTGGACACATGATGAAATTTGGTGGGAGCTCCAGGATCTTCATCCTCCAGGTGGAACCATCTCTATACCTATTTTTATCTACTTTTATTCTCTGTCTCACTCAGGAAATATTTAATTTTATTATGGTGGTGTTGACTTACATCATTAATCCAGGAAATTTGATTAACTGAATCTGAAGCAGTTCAAATTTGGTCTCATATTAAAAATAATAACTCATTTTGAACAATTGCAGAAGTTGATATCCTTTTTCTTTGCCTGTAATACCCTCTGTTAGAGTTAAGCAATCAATAGAGGGAATCTAATAATTTATTACTGTTACCATAATGAATTTTGCTTCTGAGGATCAATGTTCCTGACATCCAGTAGAGCTATGAAAGTCCAAGTTGGTTCACCACCTTGGATGCCACTTGTTCAGAATTATACCCAAGTTTCTCTTGGAGAGATGCAAATCATGGTTAACCCTTTGCGGTCATATTTATTTTCCACTAGTTGTCCCCTCAGGTCATATTTAATTTCAATGAAAAAAGATAAAAACACATTTCAACAAATCATTTCAAATGCCGGTCGGTAGATGGATATATACAATCGGCAGATGTCGTGTGAAGTAAAATATCGTATGGCAGGAAAAAGTCATTTCGGGTGAGTCCGAACAAAGAACAAATGTCAGGTCCTGCCTGACACATGACCACAAAGGGTTAACATGTGCCTTTTAATTTAAGTTAATACACACACACATCAACACTCAAATCCTAGATGTAACGTTTCCAACCAGAAGGGTTTGTTGAACAATTAAGAGCATTTCAATTTAATTATGTAGCTGGTAAAAGTGTAAGTGCAATTCCAAGCCATACATGTATGTGCCTGCAGGAGGAAATGAATTGAACAATATATTAAGACCATATTCATCTCTTATACAGAATGTTCCCTGTTGCTTATGGTGAATTGCAATGAGCACAGCACTATATGTTGGTGTTTTCAGGTCAGTGTATGTTTCAATGAGGATTTGACAATATTTTCTGTAATATCCAATTCCCAACAGTCTTTTATATTCAGGTCTTCAGTTGGAGTTGGTTTTAACTCTTTCAGACCTGAATTAAGACCACTATCAGAACAATATCCTTTTTTGCATTTTTAGCTCTTTTGCTATCTACTTTAACTTTTGATGTTCTATATATTGTTTTTATATTTTGTATAAATTCACCATATCATACCATATATTATGTATTGTACATGTAATCACATAACTGAAGATTATGAACCTGACTGGTGAGAGAAGGCCTCCGATGGAATTGAGCCATGTGCACCCATTGTAGAGCAATATGGAGCACAAAGTCACAAGAATCCTAAGGAATTACCATAGACACAATGAAAATGCCATGTCCATTGGAATGGATGCCGGGTCTGAAAGGGTTAAGCTGACACCCACTTATATATCAGATATTTGAGGCGAAGAATATAAAGAATGCACTTTTTCATGAAGGTATTTCATATCCATATAGGGCCCTGAGCAGGACCAAGAACCTGAGTCTCCTTTCACTGTCACAGAGCTCATTCAACGCCGGAAGGAAAAGGAGGAACTACTGAAGAAGCTGGAGAGTGGTGCTTTGGAAGAGGAAGATAAAGAGAAAGATCCCCAAGATGGAAGAAAAAATACAGATGACCAGGGCATAGACTGGGGAATGAGTGAGTAATATCACTCAACATCAGCATTGATAATAGTGTTTTTCATAACTAGATGTCATTTTTGTCATAATTGATTGCAGGGGAAGATGCTGATGAAACTCAAGATACAAAGGAAAATCCATTTGCCTTCATGGAGGGTGTGAATGAGGAACTATACATAGATGATCCAAAAAAGACTCTGCGGGGCTGGTTTGAGAGAGAGGGATACAATCTGGAATATGATGTACAAGAAAAAGGATTCAGTCACTTCATCTGCCGTGTCACGTGAGTTTTCATGTCAGAAAGATCTCCTAGGGTATCAGTTCAAATACATTTGACATTTCAATAGCCGATTTTTTCCTCATCCCTCCTTCAAGAATTTTTTCACATAAGAATGATGATAAGCTTAAAAAGGAAACACTCAATAATAGTTATTGTTGTGATGGTAGCCACAGTTGGATGCTGCATTGGTTGCTACAATCATCAACTTGCCAGCAGTTCCATATGTAACACTGTGTCATAACCTGAGGCTGATGGAGTAACCTGCACAGGAAGTCATTGAAGAATGCAGGACCTTAACTATCCTACTAATTGCCTCAACTGACTTTAGCCCTTCCATAGGTACAGATCTGGTGATACCCACAAACCTAAAGAAGTTAGGGTTTGCATTGAAGACATCTGCTTCTTTGCTACCTTAAGTTTTTGCAGCACTGGCTGTTTGCTTATGGAAATCTAAACAGGAAATAAGTATGCAGCCCAGTATTTTTAATGCCTTCCTGTGCAGGCTACTATTACTGACATCAGTCTCAGCTTACAGTTGAATAACTTATGAATTGAGGAATATGATTTACATATGAATACTGTCATCAGTGACTGTAAGGGTTTAATAAATATAATAGTTTTAGCATGATCACAATAAAAAAGTTGGTGTATCTTTAAATAATTACCACAAATTAGATAGGTGAATGCCTTTCATGAACACTTTTAACATTTACAATTTGCAAGCTCATGCTTCTCTCTGGCAGTTGCACACATTGCCATGTGCCAGTCAATGAGCAAAGGTGATGATAAGCTTTCAGCTGATTTGAAGCATGATTTCTGCTCCATCTGATCATCAGATAGGCGTAGCTGGTTGACCTGCTCATGCAGGAAGTGACAGAAAGGAACGGAACCCAGTAATGCCTCAGAAACATGTGGACATGTAGCTAAGGATGCTGCCATGCCCAAAATCCTCTGGATATAGCTGCATAAATAAATACAATTAGTATGACCTCATGGCATTTCTCTCTCTTAGGATGATGAAGCACAGACCTACTCACTGAGCTGAGTTGACTTACTTGAAGTATACATTGTGAATGATCTAATTGAATAAGAGGAGAGTTACATTGTCAGTATGGATCTGCCATTAATGTTACATTCTTTAGGCTCCCCATAGACACAGTTACAGGAGAGTCAGTCATTGCTGAAGCAGATGTTAGGGGGAAAAAGAAAGAGGCAGTTGTCCAGTGTGCATTGGAAGCATGCAGGATCCTCGATAGACATGGCCTTCTACGACAAGCGAAACAAGGTGAGCTGTCTAAACATTCAGTTTCCTTTGGTTGCTTCTGACATATCTTCAGTATTTGCATAGGATGATCATATTCTGTCTTGAGCAGAGAGTAGAGCCAAAAAACGGAAAAAAGACTGGGAGGAGAATGACTACTATGACTCTGATGAAGATGAATTCTTGGATCGAACTGGAATGATTGAGCAAAAGAGACAGCAGCGCATGAAGAAAGCTGGCAAGGCTGCAGAAACTATTGAAACCTATCAATCACTCGTGAGACTATTTTTGCATGACTCAGCAGGTTTTATCTTTTGATTCTGCAAGGGGTTTACAGAAAGTTGTGTCAGTGATATTTCCCTGCAACTACACATTAAAGGAACAAATTCTGTTTTAAAGTGCTAGTTCATGCTTTACTGATTAATTGCTAGACTTTAGTTCACTATATGGTAGCTCTGTGTGCTGCCATTGATGTAAGATGGCAGACACCAAGATGTGTTAAAAGAAGTAGCTGCAATTACTGCTTGCATAGAAATCTGCTTGTAAATCACCTACTAATTCATGCTTGGATGAAAAATGTACACGAGCAAAAGAAATGCTTTTCACTCTGTATAGTACTCTCAGGATGGTAAAATGCATATTTGTAGATAAACCCTTTCATGACATTCTGCCACTCCTGTAATACTTAACATAATCACAAAAAGTGGAGGATGTGAACAAGAGAGACAGGAATGCAGTATACATTAGCATAAAATTAAGAGTTGGTTGCAATGGACTCCCATTGCATGAAAGTGTGTGTACTTCATGAGTCCAGACATCCTGATTAATGCAAGAGTTGTGTCCTGAATGAAGTACTAAGCAGCACTTCACCATCCTGAAAGAATTGCACATGTTAAAGAAAATTTATTTTATTTATGCACTGTTTCCAATGTACATTTTTCATCAGAGCATACATGTTTGATTAAATGTTCATTGCTATCTATTTCATATTGATAGCAGTACACACATTTACCAGATGGTAAACTACCATCTTGCAATGGATAAGTGAAACATGTAGCTACATTTTTAGACAAATATTTATTTTCTGTTATAAAGTCAAGGAGGAAGAATATTGCATAAAAAATGTTAGGTGCACTCATCCCTTGTACAAGATAATATAAGTCAGCAATCCTCTGTAATTCTTGCTCTCAGACCGAGAAACTTGAAAGGGTTCGTGATGAGATTGCTCAGTTGGAAAAGGAATTGAATGAAGTCTCTTCAGATGGTAAGTTCCTGTGGTTTCTATCCATTCTCTGGAAATATTCTTTGGCCCACCCCAAGAACTACTCTTACATGTTTTCTGCCAGATACTCAAAAACCACCTGATGTGGATGAACTTGAGGCATACATGCATTCCCTGGAACAAAAATCCATAGACAAGATTGCTAAGAGGAAACTGAGGGTAACCTTATTGCTTTTTTTCCCTTAGATATTAACCTCTTAAGTGTGTATGCCATGTATATCTGTCATTGCAGAATGCTCCATAGATGGGTTTGACATATACAGGGTATGCAAAAAATATCAAGGCTGTCATTTTTGGTGAACAATCAATCTGTTTGTAGGCAGTTGATTCTGATTAAATTTGGTAGGCACATAGTGCGACTCAATTAGAGTTTGTGTGTCGAGTTTCAAATCAAAATTTCAAAAACTGTGAGAAAGGCAATTTACTTTTCATCACAAAATAGTAAGTGTTCATGATTTCTTTGAACTTAATCATTCTCATAACTGACAAAAACAAAATGCACAAATGCAAAAACAAAAGCACACAATTTGGTTTAGGTAGGTTCATTTCAACTGAGAAGGTGCTCAGTGTGGTATGTGGACAGAATCTTGAATGGATGGAACTTCGAATTCCATATTCTCTATCAAATATACGAAAAGCACCCACAGAGAAAGCCCATACCTGCAAAGTATGTGCAAATACCCACTTGAGTAATATTTCCAAGTATCTCTTATGGGTTCTTTTCTTATTTGGCAAAACAAATCCATACTATTTTTCAAAGATAATGTATTACTGTTGAATACATTAAATATATAAATGATGATCAACGTAATAACACATGAACATAAGGAAGAAAATTTCCAAGGTATACATTCTAGAATGTAACACTGGATCAATGAAAGTAGGATTGTTACCAGGAATGTACAGGAAAATGTGGGAAACAGGTAATTTGATATCAGATCAGGTTTGTAGAATTATATAGCTAATTGACCGATCCTTTGGGGACACTCCGATGGCAATGGGATAATTGAAGTGTGACATGCAAAGTTTGACACGAGAATGCCCGGTCACCTACAATTATCTCAGAGATAGAGGTGCATTGATCTGGAGGAAGGCTGAATGGTAGAGTGCCCTACTGAGGATCACATGAGAAAATCTTTAGTGTTTCAGACTGGCCCCAATTCAAGTATTGATTGACAATTCCCTCATGCCCCTTGTGGAGTATAGGGAAGAAAGTAATATGCCGTTGTCTGGAGCATTTGCAAACGGATAATATATAATTATGGTGTATTGTTGCTATTCATTTCACTTCAAGTGATGCCTGCTAGTTCCTCTTTCTAATTCCCATTAATCCTTAACCCACGGTAGACTTTCGAGGCTAAAGGTATCTCTGCATCTATGTCCCAATAAAAGTGTGCAGATGCCTCACCTCAGTCAGTCAGGATTTCAATCAGGAATTCAAGATCATGGCTGAATTCATCAAAAGCCACAAAGGAAATGAAGTGCTCATTCTAAACTAGCGAGTTTGTTTGCCCTTTGGGCAAACATGGTCGCGCCTTCGGCGCTCCCTTACCTTGGATATTGATTAATTCATTCATTTTTTGCGAAATGGGAAACACGTATTTAAATTACGTCCCCATTGACATACGTGACATATGGGGTCGAATGTCTTGATTTTTTTCATCAAAATCATTACCTCTATGATTCTGTGTGCC